TGAATTATTGGTACCGGTAATTTATTCCAAAATAAAAGCTACTAGAGCTGCTACATGTACGTAAGCTGGCCAAGATACAGACTGCTAAGTTCATTGTTGACTATTTATTTTATATGTACATGTATTTTAAAATCATTAAAATACTAATACTGTCTCTTTTTCTCACCAGATATTGTATTACCTTCGTACTCAAATGGAAATATATTCAGTTACTCTTGCGAGAATGGGACTTGAATTGATAGCTGTTTGATCATCATACAATAAAAGAAACGACATAAAGAACATGTAGGTGGGTTTATGCTGGATATTAAAACAACCACAAAAAATACCCCACTGTCAATAAATTGTTTTAACACTACTCACAATTTGACACTTTTTTTTTAAACTTTATATAATAAAACATTGTAATTATTTATATTGGTAGGCACTGTATATTGCTGTAGCCTATTTAAACATTTATAATAAAAAACAAAAAAACACCACAGTATGTACCAGTATATATTGGTTTGTACACAAAACAATAAGAGAACACTTGTTGAAACATTTATTTTATTTGTACAAACAAACCGGTGATTTTTTACCATATAAATTGTGCTGTGTATTTTTATGGTGCTCAATCGCTAAATGCCACTCAAGGATTAGAACTTTATAACATGGTAAAATGAAGTACCGGTAAGAAGTAAAATATTTACACCAAAACTAAGCATTAAGAAATTGTAAGACCCTGATCACTTAACTTTGTGTTATTTCTGTTTGCTTAAAATTGATTTTACAATAAAATATTACTGCATAACATTCATAATTTTCTTCATTAAAGCATCTGGAATCTTCATCAATACAGATAATGTGACAGAAAATAGAATAAAGAGTATTGCAGCATTATATTTAATGGCAGCACCACAATAATTCTAAAATGGATTTATTTTATCTGGAGCCAACTTATTTCTGCTGATGGACTCAAGACCAACTGAGAGGTTTTTTTCAGGGCAGTTATCATCTTCTTAGCAACACTTATATATGCATAACCATTAACAATTTTGTTCACAAACTCATTTATTTATTTCCTTCTTTATAATCCCCTTCGCATGCACAAGAGATTTTCATAATCAATCACAAGCCCGGTTGAGGCTTCAATGCAAACTACTATTTCATATTACATGTACATGTATATCCTGATTTTACCATGTTTATTGGACGCTGTCACCTCAAGTGGTCAGTCACCATAAATATGGCTGTACCCTCAAAAATCAGCAATCGATATATTAAACTGTAGGGTTTTTTTCACAATACATATAGCAATATGAAATTGGGTGTATGAATATTTTTACACTACTTTTAATTTACCGTTAACTGTATGGAAATACACTTGCTTTGATTTATATCATTAAAATTCATGCAAGATATTGATGATTTCAGACATTTATTTGACTGTATTGACATTCTACTTTAAAATCTTTATCTTATCATTTGTTAGTAGATAAGTACAGAGGGGGCTGAAAATTCAAAGCTGAGCAAAAACAATTACCAAAACCCATTGACATATAGTCAAAACAATTTGTATTGATAAATCAGAGGAATCTATAAAAAACAGTTGACTTTCTTAACTTTGCAGACATCAGCGTTTTTTTGACAACTCCTTCCCTTATTGAATGTAAAGTCGGTTATTAGATTCTAAATTCACAAGGGGAAAGTACATAATGCATAATGAGGTATGTATAATACGGTGCATTACAGTTCAAATATCCATACAATAATTATGTAGACTTTAGATCATCAAGTATAAGTCAAATTTTCTTACACCTTAAAAGTATTCTAAAGGTAATTAAATTATATGAAATTACACCAAGAATCGACTTCCACTGATACATGTACATGTATGGGATTACTGGTCAATTATTATACACTCACTAATTAGTCTAGCTTATCCAGTATTCAATTAACTGCCAAGGTCATCATGGTAATCTTACTTAACCTTTAGACATGATTAGCCGAATTTCACACAATATAGAATTAAGTTCTGATGAGAGACCTGGCTTCACCAAGTCAATAAACATTAATTAGTAGAGGAATTAATGGTTGAAGGAATGAATAAATGAATGATTGCATTCATTTACACCCCCACAACTAAATTAGTGACAAATAAATGAATAAATAGTAAGAACAAAAGAGAAATATTGCAAAATTTCTAAAATTAGAGAAGATACATGTATCTCCTAGTAAAGGTACTAATATTCCCATTTGCAACATTTCTATAATTTTGGTTCCAAATGAAACTTTTTGAATAACCTCTCCTCACACACACGGTTTTATGCTAACTTGTAACAGTCACAAATAGTAGCAGATCAATTCTATTTCTCTACAATCTGTTGAAGTGAGTTCCATTGACAAATTTGAGATATTACCATCTGAAATTAAGAAGAGTTGCCCCCCCCCCCCACGCCACCCAAAAAAAACATGGAAACCAGTGGTGTATTCCCATGAAGGTGCAATTACAGAGCGTGACCAAAATTAATCCTTCCCACGAAGGCGCAGATATCGACTTGTCGGCTTTCGTTTGAAGAGAGGCATGTTCCTATTAGGACTCAATTTAGTGTGTTAAAGATTTTATGAATTTATTCTGGAAGGATGGCAAGCAAGAATCAAGAAGCTAGTTGGAAAAGCCCATCGGAATGTTTTTGAAATGATCACATTTTTACAACAAGAACAAAATATTACTGAAATTAGAATCGTTCAGTATGCTGGGGGACAGGAACCACTAAGGAAGAGATATAAATATGCTCAGATCCAAAGCCAGCTCCAGGAATTAAAAGGAAGACACGAGGAAGAGGAATTGACTTTAGTCGAGTTTTTAGACAGGGTGCATTATTTGGCGAAATTAAATTAATTTTTGATATAGTGTAGTTAATTTTGTATTTCTTATGCCAAAAACGATGCTAAAATGTTGGTTAATTAGTTACATTGGGGATTATGAAAGTGTAAATTCTTATCATAACAATCTATAACACCATTGTTACGTTTTTAATCCATTTTATTCCCTAGGAGCAGGATTCCCACGAAGTCGTCGAAAACGACCTCGTTTAATCCGTTACGGTCAATAACTGCGCCTTCTTGGGAATAAACCAAACCAGTGATATTTAAAACTGTGAAACAAGAACTATAAATTCAAGCCAGAGCTATTCAATATTATCAAACCAAGTCTATTACACTGTAAGTCTGAAGCCATTTTTGCTGTCAAAACAGGGCTATTTATTACATAATTTTCAAACCAGAGATACATGTATTCACTACTATTAAACCAGGACTACAACCAGGTAATGACCATTCATTACTGCAAATCTTGGGAGATCAATATTGCCCGAACCAGGGCTATTTAAATCAGAAGATAGTAAATACTGTCAAACCAGGGCTATTCAATACCATAAGAACATGTAAATACTGCCAAATCAGGGCTATTCAATACCATAATCACAAATTTTATACTGTCACACCAGGGTAATTCAATACCATAATCACAAATGTAATACTGTCACACTAGGAAACAAAACTTACACACCAGGGTTATTCAATACCATAATCACAAATTTAATACTGTCAAACCAGGGCTATTCAATCCCACAATCACAAATTTAATACTGTCACATCAGGGTTATTCAATACCATAATCACAAACTTAATACTGTCACACCAGTGTTATTCAATACCATAAGAACATATTTAATCCTGTCAGAGTTATTCAGTGCTTTATGTATATTGTAGCACTAGAATAATTCATTTGATTTCTAATGAGCTGACTATATTAGTTCTGTGATTTGCTATTCTTTATGTCTTCTAGAAAGCTACATGTACCTAATTGACATAAACATTCTGATATTTTGGTTGTTTTAATGAAACCAGAATATCCCAGAAGTTGTAATCATTGTAACCATAATAAAGCCCCTGTGAACTCTTGTATAAAAGATAGGTTGCCAGGCAAAGAAACATACGCCCACAGCAGCTAAATCGTCTGGGCAGTCAACAAGAGTTGTCGCATATTTTTACTTTTTCAGTAATGAAACATTTATAATACACTAAAATCTGATTAAGAGTAATAACTCATCAAGTAATTATCAGAAAATCATTTGAATTTGTTTGGTTTTTATAAATTTCTGCCCCATGTTAACGTTTAGTATACGAAATATTTAATATCATGGATTTAGCTGTTCAAGTTATCAAAATTCACTGAAAATCAATATACTTGTTCGTTTCAAGAGCCTTAAACTCTGTGTATCAATCTGTGAAGTCAATTGGATGATAACATAAGCCTCTAGAGCTTCAAGAGATTTTTCAAAGTGATCAAGGGCCATAACTTTGGCAGTTATTATCGGAAATCGTTGAAAATCAATAGAATTCTTCGCCTCATGACCTCAAACACTTCGTATAAATTTAAAGTCTGGCAGTAATTATCCGAAATCTCTGAAAATCAATAGGCTTCTTCGTCTCATGACCTTAAACACTCTGTATAAATTTAAAGTCAATCGGATATTAACTTTCGCCTCTAGAGCATCCACAAGGTATTTCGAAGTGATCAAGGGCCATAACTCTGGCAGTAATTATCGGAAATTGATGAAAATCAATAGGATTTTACGTCGCATGACCTTAAACACTGTGTATAAATTTAAAGTCAATCGGATATTAACTTTGGCCTCTAGAGCGTCCACAAGATATTTTGAAGGAATCAAGGGCCATAACTCTGGCAGGCTTCTTCGTCTCATGACATTAAACACTGTGTATAAATTTAAAGTCAATCAGATATTTACTTTAGCCTCTAGAGCGTCCACAAACAATTGTGGACGCCGGCCGGCCGGTTGTTGGCGACGACAATATACGACCACATTTCAATGTGGGCGTATAAAAAAATACTCCAAAAGACTTTTTCCATATGAAAATATTCCCATAGATCTATTTTGTGTTAAAAACAAAGTTTACATCCATAAAATAAATCAAAAAATTAAAATGTTTACCTCAAATTCAAATTGTTTAACTCCCATTATTCCATAGCTGGACACAAATTCACAAATATTCTTCAAATCTTGAATGTAAAGTTCGTCAAGGTCTTCACCTAATAATTTCCACAAATCTATTAGATCAAGATTAAATGGAATCAAAACTTGCTGTTGATGGATAATATCCTTAAACTTCTCTGGGCTCAAAAAGAGGCTACTAATCTCACTGTTGCCACTAGATGGTGCTGGTTGGTCTTGAGATTCAACATGTCGTCTCATTGTTGGCATCAAGAAAGCTTCTATGTCACATGTATTTATCAAAATATTGTCCTGAAAGTTGAAGTTCATGTTGGATATTTTTTGAAACGATTGATTACGAGCTAAGGCCAGAAGAGCTCGCGATAAACTTTTCGTTGGTGTCTTATCCTGATTATCAACAGATATATGTCTGGCAGCTTCGAAGCGAACTTCGATTTGACATAATTTAGGATGGTCGTTGATGGTAGTTGGTGCTGAAGGGGTAGCTCTGTCAGTATTCAATAGGATGTCAGTATCTTTAGAACATCCAACTTCATTGTTGATAGGTTCTGATCTGAATAAAACATTAACAATATCTTTTATTCAATACTTTCTCAATTAAAAAATCTTGTGTAATTTTTTTCATTATAATTATGATAAGAATTTTTTCCACCAGTGATCTTTTGGGTTTAGAGATATATCTGGGTGTAATTATAGTGTGTGAAATAGCTTGATTTAACGACAGCTTCCACCAAGGTGATATTGCAGTAATAAAGTATTTCTAACTACTTTAAATACTCCATACACAGAAATATAATCCATGAGAGCCATGTACCAAATGGCTCATAATATAATACTAGAATATTTGATATGGATAGTCACTGTATTTTAGCGCTGGAATGATATATCGTTGAATCACAATTTACTGTGCTGAACTGATGTATCACAATTTTTTTTTTCATGGGTTTTTTTTTGTCGCTTCAGTAATTAACCTGTCACTCTTAATTATCCATGTCACACATTATACACAGGTACACACTCTTGAATTATTTTGGTCCTTTTTTTGATCTACATCAATATTATGATATAAAACAATTTTATTTAATTGACATCGGCAGGACTAAAAATATCAATTATTCATTTATCCTGTTGTTTTCTTGGTAGATATTGACCTGGTTATAAATCGTGATACGTATCGTATCGTAGCACCTGAATTGCAATAGAGCCTACATATTGTATCGTGAGCGCAGTAGTAATACCCAGAACTACTGTATTTATTACACTGTAAAGATTCTCAACAAGAATTTACATTAGTTTTCTGCTTGAAAATGACTTGTGAAATCTTGTTGAAATATTGCATTGTAACAAACATAGTAATTCTATCAATACTATATTTAGTAGTATAAATATAAATATCTCAAAACGTAAGGGATGGGGATTGGGGGGTTGGCAACACTATTAGTTTCATTTTTGTCTTCCAGTGTCGACACAGGAACATACAATCGATTAAATCTTAACAATTGAATAATTTACGGACATAAAATACTGAACAAAGACAGATTGTTACTCCACAAAACATATCATCACATAAAATCCAATGACATCAACAGGTTACATTTTGATTCAGATCAAAGAGGAAGTGCCACTTTAAGTGTTAATTATACTTACATAATGTCTGTATTAGATGAACTTTGACCTGTTTGGTCTGTATCATTTTCAGGGTCATCAACAATATCAATAATGTGCTGCATTAAATTCTCTTCCTTCTCCTTACTCAACAACTTCTTAATCTTCTTTCGCTTTCCATTTTTTTTCCTCTCCCCATCTTTATTCAAGTTTAACAAATCATCTTCATCATCATCGTCATCATCATCATCATAATCGTCATCATCATCTGACTGTGAGTCAGTAACATTCTTCTGAATTCTACCTCGACTAACAGGTAAATTACAACCTGCACGATCTAGTACCAATATCTCTCTTGGTATTTTAACTTTCAGTTTCAACTACAACGTAATGAGAATTAAATTAAGACCATGAGGGAATAAATAATTCTGAGATTATAAATTTGTACCTTGTCTCAATGAAAAATGTCTTCTCAAAAAAAACCTATAAAATGTATCACAAAGTTTTGAACAACTGTAAAAAGTAAAATGCTTCAATGTGCTGTTTTAAGAGAGCCAAATCCAATTCAAGGGTTCCAACTTGGCCATATAGGCCGGTTATGACCGATTGTCTTAAAAAATTGACTGAATTTTCTCTGGACCAATTGGTCAATTATGTGCCATAAAACTAGCATATTTTTCAAAAACACTTGTTTGTATATCTGCAACTATTGAAACAATTTAGTTTATTTAATATCTGGAAGTCATCAAAAAATGAAGATAACCAGATTTGAATTAAAGTAAAAAGATATAATTCTTACCTTTCTCAAGCAAGTTAAAGACAACATGGAAGCACAGAGTCCGCCTGCGTCAATAGATTTAATATTTATACCACCATCTCCATCTGATTCCACATACTTCTGCCATAACCGCTCTAAAAACTCATGACATTCACTAAACATGTTGTCAGGGAAACGAGTCAGGAATCGGCGCTTATATCTGCAGTTAAAAACATTTAGAAATAAAACTGTTAGCTGCATGAAGTTTTTGTGTAAATGAGTTTTGTTAAAACATAAATTGTTATTTTTTTTGTACATTTCAAATACAGAAGAAGTAGTTTCAAGTTTTACAGAAAGATCAGGTACATAACGCTAGTAATGTTTTATAGATAATTGAAGAAATAGATTTTAGAAGTTAAATTTACTTGTTAGAAAGCCAGCTGCTATGAAGATAATATCAGAGCACTTATGATCTAATTTAAATCTAACAATCTTTCTTTCAAATCTGCCAGCGACAGTTCTAATTGAATCAAAATGTCATTTGATTTTGATTTTCAAAATTCAAACAATTCAAAAGAAAACCATGCAAACAAATTTGTTTGGTAAATAAGTTCACATGATCTTGAAAGAAATTATGTCAGAGTTTAATCAAATTTGGGCACTTGTCACCAAAATAAATGTGTTTCAAACATTTTACGTCATGGTCCTAAGGTATTTTATGTTTAAAAGTGCCCTGAGGTTTAAATACAGAAAAGTCTACTCTATGAGAAAAATAAATATGTATTAATATCCTGCTGTAGTGTATTGAACTTTTAAAAAAAAAAAAATCTTTTTTAATTTCCTTTATTTATATGCAGGGACATAAATAACAAATCTTTAAGATAGATGTTTGTGAATACAGGCAAACTATTTACCTTTGAGCTAGTTGATGATGGTTCACTCCATACATCAATGGTTTTACTGTTTTCTATAAAAACAATAGTACAATAAAAACTCATAACTCAGATAAATTTTTAAAATCAGAACCTTAAAGACATTCATCATATTCATTTTTTTGACAATAATCAATTTTTTCAAATTGGTTATTTAACATTAAAATGAAGACATCAAAACCCCCTAACTTGGATTTAATTCGATAAAAACACGCCCATCATAATATCTGACCAAATGCTGACTTGTTTATATCTACAGAGGATACCGAATGTTGGGACATGTTCAATCCATCGGACTTTGTACGACCTCTTTTTGACTGATATTTATATAAGAGATTCAACTTTCACAATATGGCAGTTTGCATGGGATTAAAAATCTCTTTTAATGAAGATCTTACAGACAGGGTACTCGATTATGGGAATCCCTTGATTATATAAGATTAAAAGCTTACTTATCTGGAATTCAAGATTTTTCATAATGTTTATTTAATGAAAAGGTTATAAAACATGCATTAAAAATCAAAACATGTAACTAAAAGTTACTCATCTTACTTTTATTTTGGTGAGGATGCCATCATCTTTCATTCTACTAAACACTTGTGTTAACAGAAAGTCTGGATATTGATTAAAAATACGATACATCTCATGACTTCTACCCTGTTTATCTTTAGATGTTATCACAAAGCTCTGAAATAATAACAAAATGTTACCACAAACTTCCAAATTAAGAGGATTTTACCACAAAACTCTGAAATAATAACAATTAAAAACAAAAACCTGTGATAATACCAACATGTTATCACAGAACTCTGAAATAATACCAAGATGTTATCACAAAACTCTGAATTAAAAACATGACCTTATCACAAAACTCTGAAATAATAAGATGTTACCACAAACTCTGAATTAAAAACAAGATGTTATCACAAAACTTGGATAAATAATAAGATACTACCAGAAACTCTGAACTAATAACAAAATGTTATCATAAAATTGCAATAATAAGAAGATCACATGGAGGTAACTTTTTAAAACAGGATGGACATGGCAGTTTACTTACATGAATGAGATCATAAAGTACGTTAAAATAAATATCACGATTAGTTTTTATATCATCTGGATTAGGTACACGCCAGTAGTCTACATTGGTTAGCTTTGTCAACTCATAGTTTGAATTTAAATCATCCACTGATTCAGGAAAATTAATCCAATCCTCGTCTTCATGTGTTCTGAGAAAAAAAATATATTAAGTTTGGGTATTTTTCAAGTTTTGTAAGCTATTGTATATTCTGCTCTAATTATGTCAGTGTTTAGATTTCTGATTAGGTGGGCCTAAGCCCTAAGGTTAGTTACATTTATTTCTGATATAAGTTTAATCACATTTATCCTAAAACTTACTTAAATTTATCCAATAATTCAGAAACTAATTCTTTATATTTTGTAACTAGATTCGCCTGACCAAATTTCTTATTACCATATTTATTCATAATATCCTGAAAAAAAAAAACAGCATTAATATTTTTACAAAATGAATAAAGTAATAAATACACAATGATTAAGCATGAATTGCTATATATTTATAAATAAAATTACTGTTCAACTACAACAAAGGATCATTCTTTTTAACAAACTTGATGCTGGCTGCAGAAAGAATATTATTAACAACAATTTTTGGTTGACAGCTGACATACAAGCAAAAAGTCAATCAGTTATGTAAATGGAAATTAAGTTTTATATTTCAAACATAATGATAGTTGATTAGTAACAAACCTTATCTTGTTTAGCTTGTGACAAAAACAAGGCAACATTCATTTTAGAGACTGGATTCTTGAAGGCAAAAGCCACTCTTCTCTGACAGGCTTTAGAACTCTTATCATATGATGTCTGTAAAATTACATATTGGATATATTTAATTAATACGCATAAGATTTTCTGCCACCCATGCTTTAAAAACAAGCGGTTGCCATGCAAGATACGACCATACTTTTCAACAGATGGCCACAGAACCAACTAAAACAGGGATTATTCAGTGGCCATAATCCAGGATGTTACGTGGGTGTATAAATGAAATGGGGTTTAACGTTCTACAGTTCTGCCCCGACTGGGATAATGAATACGGGCATACACCACACAGTGTGCTATGAGATAAATTTTGAACGGACAGCGGCCCTACGGCTTATTCTTATTTCTTTCCATCCGAAAGACTAGACAGCTATCCTGCACCACTGACAAGGAGAAACCAAGCTGGAAAATCCTGATGAACCTCTCGGCCAACACTGGGAGCGAAAACCCCTGACCGCCAGGCTAGCAGGACAATGTATTACTCATATAGCCACTGTGGCTCCCGTGGGTGTATAAAAGATTGAAGATTATTTATTTGAACACTTTATTAAAGATACAATATTGGAGATTAGATAAAGAGCTGGCAGTTAAAAACTAGATGATGTAGAGGGAATTTGGTGAAAATTTCAGTAAAATTGATCCACTCTGAACCAAGATTTTAGTGATTGAATTGTCGGCCTAGCTTCGATCATTATTACGAAAGTCGGTACGATAAAAAACATAGTCTCGATTATCCATTTCATGATAAAATCATGAATTATGAATGGAAGTCTAACAGCAAATCGGAACCTAATCCAATAAACATTGCAGGCTAGCGATGACTTTGAGAGTTGATTATGGTCTGGATAAGTTAATTAATGTCTAATTAATTATTTAGATAACATTTCAGGCCTAAAGAAAGACCTGAAATAGGCAGATTTAGCTCTTGCCAAATGTATGTTTAAGACTCTATGAAAACAAGCATCCTCTTTATGGATATTTTTTTGAAAAAGTTCCCAGAGGCAGATTTAATACTGTAATCATTTTCCTCATGTAAAATCTTAATCTAATTTATTTTGGTTTTAAAATTCATCAGATCTTACAACAAATTATTACTAAATTAAATGTCATGTTTCAGAAAAGCAAGTAAAGGAAATACTATGTCACAATTTGTGACTTGTTAATTAGTGTTGGAAATTACAATGTTACGTTTCTTCAGGAACTACATGTACAGAATGAACAAATATTGTATATGACCTACTTATTTGTTTGGAGATTACAATGTTTTAATCATGTTCTAGGAAATACATACAATGTGAGATGGGAGATGTTAACTTGAGTTGAGATTACTATGCTTTATTTATTTTCTAGGAAATATAACATGGAAGGAAATATTATATGGCTTAATTATATTGGTTGCAAAAACTACAATTGGGGTACAAATGGTAACTCAACACGAATGTTACATGACTACTTTGTTTTCGTTACAGAATAGACTAAGCTAGTTTTGTGGATTTAGTGTTTTACATATGTGGACATATTATTATTGGTGTAAGAATGACAACTCAAGATCGACAATCATTATATTACAGATTAATTAAGGAATATGGATTTTGTGTTGGAGCTTTTGTAAATTTTTCATTTATAATTTGTACATACAATGTTTTGTTAGATTGTTAATTGCCGATTGAATTGAACTCACCTCTTTAGATTTCTCATGTAGGATATCGCGTACAACTGTCCATGGCACTAACAATCCTCTTCTAATACCTCCCATTAAACAACTCGCCACTTTACATAACAATAACTATAAAGAATAAATATACAAAAAACACAACAGTTTTTAGAATCATTTTTGTCTTTAAAGTAAGTTTAAGAATTATTTTTGTCTTCAAAGTAACTTTTAGAATTATTTTTGTCTTTAAAGTAATTCTTTAAAGTAGCTCATTTTATGGCATGTAAATGGATTGATAGACAAATTTTCTAGCCTGTCAATTTCAATCTAATGTGACTGAAATAAGAGTTCTGACAGATATCAATAAAGAAATTCCTATTTTATCCCAATTTTGACAGTACAGGGGGCTTGCACAAGATATGCAGATAAAAACAAAATATGGTTGCTAAAAGTCATAACAGAACTATATGCAATCAAGTGAATGGATCTAGACCATACAAGTTACAAGTAACAAATTAAAGTGGGTTTTGTTAATATGGAATATACATTATATTGGGACATGGTTATAAAGTGTTGGGTTGATTCTGTACGAATCGCTAAGAAAAGGTTATAAAGTTTTGGTAACTTACTATTCCATCTTCTCTAGAACTCCAGAACACTCTTTCTCGTGTCATCAAACCCAATGCTTTAAAATCTATATCATCATAGTATGTTTTACGAACTGAAAATAGAGAATCCTATTATTAGAGCCGAAACCATCTTGGACTCATTGGAGGATAGTCGGCTACTTTAAGTATTCCAACTATCCGTTGGATTTATCTTAATCTATTTGTGTTATTTTGAAACGGACCCTATAATTGCTGAATTCTTGAAACTTATCTACCAATATGAATGTTAAAATTAGCCAAAAGTTTCAACACCACTTATGTAATTTTTATGAGTATGCTATACTCAGTATAGCGAGAGAGGGAGACAAATGGGGTTTAACGTCCACTTGACACAAACTAGTTCATTTAGGGACTAACATATGGTTCAATTTTATTTCAATAATTCGCTTATGCGTTAGGGTCTTTAGAAGTGGGAGGAAACCGGAGGACACTCAGTATAGTAGTAGGAAAACTATTTTACAAGAGACAACAAATGCACACTTTACTTTTGATAAAAGCTATGGAAGGGTATCACTTTACTAACCAACTACAAACAATTGTCACATACCAACCTTTTTTAAAATACAAACTTGGAAGAAAGAAATATTTTTCAATATGGATCATATTTAATTTCTTAGATAAATCCAGAAACGAAAAATGTTCTGTTTCATAATAAATTACACATATATTGTATTGTTGTATAATTGAATCAATATTATTATAGTTTACTTATATTTACCTTTCTTTTTAGGTGGAGCTTTAATCTTTTCAGCAGGTCGTTTTCTTTTAGAAGCTGAAATATAAAAAATTAATACTGGAAATGAAAATCTTACACCAAAAGTGATCTCTTAGACAAATATCAAAATTTATTATTTTTTTGCTTTAAATGTTTTATATCATTATGTTAGGGCTATTTCATTAGTGATTGAGAAGGTCTAGAAAAAACTGACTTCTATTGAGAGAGGGGGTGTCGAAACTGTTCTGTAAGTTAAAGAATACTCATATTTGTATATTACACACAAAGGATTTGTGAGAACGATAATCAAATTTCAAAATGGGGTTTGCAAAACAGTTAGGCCATATAAAAAATATATTCTGATTCTCGGATAATCCTGTGGGATTCAAAAATAACAGTGTGACACTGTTTTTATCTTTATAATTATTTACAGCCACAAGCTAAAAACACTATTTTTGTACAATCAGAGGCCATAATTCAGGAAGTTACAATACGATATGAGCGAATATCAATTGAACCAAGATCTCTGGGTTATAAACATGCATATCAAGTGTCATCAAAATCAGATGAAAATTGTGAGTCTAGAGTTTCCACTAGCTAAAATCGTGATTTTTCATACAATCAGGGGCCATAATCCATGAATTTATGGTCCGGTACATGCCAATATCGAAAGAAACCGAGGTCAAAATCGGATAAAATTTGTGACATTTGGACTGTCCACAAATAAATTGTGTAAGGACGTCCAGATGGACAGACCGACAGCATAATATGTCCACATAAAACGGTGGCCGTATAACCCCTGCCCCTCCCCCCCGCATCAGATTTTTGGTAAGGACTGTCTGAGAAGCAGAATATTATTTTTTGTATGGCCTTACTGATCTTGTTTTAAATTACAATTTCTTACCTCTTTTTATCCCTTTACCTCCTCTATTTCCTTTACTGGGTCCAACTTTAGCCGCAACTAAAATAATATAATAGAAAAAACTCAACTCATGAATATGTGTATCTGTTATAAAATTTCCTTTTTTCAGTTCATAAAAACTTTTCAACTGACAAATTGGACCAGGATTACATGTGGGGGGTAATCAATTGAGCGTTCCGGAACTGAATTCTCTCAATCCCAAAAATAGTGACAATCGAGTGAAAAGGTGGATTTCAGGCGTCGACTGAATAAATAAATATCTCAACCAACCATGCAGCTAAAACATATTTGTTGTGTTTAATTACGTCACAATTCTACTCACACCACCTCCGTTGTCGGGACTGACAGAACTGTGACAGAACTGAATTCCATGTAACTCGGTTGCAATTCTGTCAATTCGGGACGTTCTAGACTGTGAATCGAGCATCCCTGTGAATACATTCAATATCTTACCTGTTTTAACAGGGGAGCTTACTCGTTTTCCTGTTTTTCTCTGAGATATTTTCTCTGCTGCGAAAATAAAATAAGTACAAGGTAAATATTACATCCACATGGACATATACACTCATGGAGGGAAACCAATCATTTATTTGATTTGATACATGTGACTGGCACTTGATAAACGGGAAATATGGGTCAAAATGTCAAGACACAAAATAAATTCAATTTCTGTATTCAAAGAAATTTAAATCGGCATGCGAATATGCATTTATCTTGAAAAGGGATTGTAAATTACTGAAACAAACAAAGCAAAAATTCATAACAACATAAAATTTCGGCCATTTCTGACCAATTTTTTTCTATGGGCGTTGAGGAAATAACAATAATGTCATATTTGAAGACAAATAGACCAGAAACTTAAACCGATGAAAATGTTTTATTTTACACTTCATGTTGAGTTTGCAACATGTGCCTCATTTAGCTAGGGGCTGACCATACATTTTGTATGGCTTATATATTGATAATGCAAAGTTAATATATAGACACAAAATCTGCAAATGTTAATCATTGATCAATACCTGGATATAAAAGTAAACTGTTACCTATTTGATAAAGAGTTGGGTGTATATTAGTTTTATCTCCTTCACCTGTAACTTTCTTTATTTCAGATATACGAAACCAATTACGCATCAGATGACTGAAAATATATATAAAAAAAACTTTTGAAAATTGTTGACTATTTATGACTGTCAAGATAAATGGGAAGTGGCATCAGGTGTTCTAGAAATATTAGCATATCCTTCTAAGCACAACACGATCACTACTTACAGCTAAATGTGGCAGTGAAATAACATTCTTCATTAAAAGTATACCAAAGATAACAAACAAGTTAAAAAGTACAATTGAGCAGTGGTATTATGGTTTTCAAAACAGGTTATTGAAGCACTCCATGCATACCACATGACACCTGCCAGTAATATAACTCATAGTCCAATTAAAGATCCAATTTCAAATTCTATTAACCTACCAGAATAAAGAAGAATCAAATCCCCCAGCACCTCTATGATCTCCTGGTATCATGGGAGTTGTAGATACATCTTTAAAACCTAGTATTTTACACGCGTCTTCTAGCGATAGTTCTACATCACCAGTTATATCATCTTCTTTTTGTACTGAAATAACAGAAATACTGTAATGGTGCAGGTCCCATTCCTCAAACTTTTGCAATCTTATGAAGCTTGAAATAAAATTGGGCTTATTGTCCTACTTTTCTGCACCGTCTGAGCGTACCCAATACTGTATGTTATGAGGGTAATTTTGCCCAGGCAGAGGTGCTACAGCCCACTCTTATCAAATTACAACTGTCAAGAGTTCTTATATGTGCACACCACTATGTTCACAGGACCTTGTTTTTTTTATCCCATATGAACGACTAGAAAATGTCCTTGCTATGACCTCCAACTTGCACCACTGAAAACTGCGCCAGAAAATCCTAATTAGCGAGCCAGCATCTTACCCACTGAGCCAGCCACCACAGCTCCCTATGGCCTATAATGCTTGGGTAAACTCTGCAGGTAATTACTTGGTGACTGCATATCTTACCAAATTGCACAAAAAATATGTAAATTGTACATTATATTTATACATTTAACATATATAGGTGTTTAATGATCTATATTCTAATTTGCAACTTTGGAATGTTTTTATTTATACACAACTTCTTAAGAATAACAGACTTACATTTTCTTGTCCGAGCTACTATAAAGACAAGTCAAATGAAACAAAAATATACAGGTTAGTGTTTCTTAATTGAAATAGTTATTTTAAAACATCTGTTCAGTAAAAGGAGCAATCATGTTATTCAAGAAACAATTTTTTTGACCAAACATATAAATAATCACCATGTTAAAATCCACAATGCGTTTTTCTGTGTGAAATCATGTTGATTAACAGTGGTGCCAATGCCATTTTCTTTAAACAATAGCTAGCATCTTTAAAATTTTGACAGCATATTTGGTGACAGTACACTCATACTATTTAACATATTTTTATTTTTGGGCTATCTAAGTGGGTTTTATTATCGAAACTTCTGAAATGGCAGTAGAAAAATCATTCCAACATAGCCTACATGTATTACCATGTGCTCTACAGAAAACACACCAAACTTGATAATTTTGAGTTGTATTATAATAACTTCGAAGGACTCTATACAATGTGGACCTGTGCAGTTCTACTGTGTTAAATTATGGATTTATAGGATACACAACACATGTTAATAGTGTTTCATAAATATACGGTGTAAAATAATGACTCCTACCTAAACCTTTACAGTTAAGGTTTGTATCTAGAACAATCATCAACATATCACACCAATATAATTCTACATCAGCCATTGAATTAAATTCATAAATTTTTACAGGAAACTCGTCTAAATCTGGTGGTAGAACAGTCTTCATATAACCAGCTAAAGATTGACGTGTATCGTGTAATACAGCTTTAGGATGAACATATATAAATGCCTAAAAATACAGAAAATTTGACTGCACAATGCACAAAGCTACTTTAATAAAAAAAATACATTGGAAGAAAAGTTTTGGAACGGAATCCAAATTTTTAAAGCATTATCAGAAAATGGCTTGAAACATGCATTTCTATCACTATCACACCTGTCTTACAGAGCATTTTATATGTCGGAGAAATAATCGAGGATCTAAGAATATCACAGGGAATAGATTTTATTCAGGTCTCTGGGAATGTGCTCTACCCACAGCACATCTTATAATAACAGGATTGGCAGTTCTGTGTCACTTGACTGTAACTTTGTCAATTAATATTGTTTGAGACTGACAAAATGAGCAAATATCTTTAAGAAATACAGACCTTTTCCTTGGCTTTTCTAATCTGTGGCCCAAAAGATAATAGACCCATCTTTGAAAGATGTGAACAACATTCATAGAAAGAGTAAACATATCGTCTAGCATAGAGAAGTTGATTGGTTATCCAGTATGGTAAATATGTAATGGGATATAATCTCTTCATAGGATCAGATAATAACTTCTCTAAACCATCAATCTAAAAATATAACATATAACAAAACATAGGTTCATATAATAACTTGTCTAATCATCAATCTAAAAATATAATATAATATAATAAAATATAGGATCATATAATAACTTGTCTAATCATCAATCTAAAAATATAATATACAACAAAACATAGGTTCAATTAACAATAATCCTTTAGGGGCATTTAAAAACTGGATAGAGCATAAACTATAACACATACTTATATATGGAAGAACAATTACTGATTTATTTAGGTGATATTTCAAAGAGATTAGTGAGTCCACTGATGATTGGCATTAATAAATCAGATAACAACTTAATTGTCTAATCATCAGTCTAAAAATATAATATATAACAAATCAGTTGGTCACTATATTTAAATATCGGTAATTAATAACCGAGTACTTTTAAACCCGAGTCACTTTAGACCAAGTAAGTGATATAATAACCTTGGTTGTTAAAGAGATATCAGTAATTCAATGTTAACACCATTAATTGAGTTGGATATTGCCTTATTAACCTAATTAGAGTAATTAGGAGATTAACCGAAATATTATATTACATCAGAATGTCTCTGTAGTTGACTGATAAAACTACTGACCATGTTAGATATGAACCTGTTAACTCGGTTAAAGAAATTCAATTAAAGATACATTATGTAAGATTTAGATAAAGAGCTAGCCATTCTTGCTTAAATAGTTTGAAAATAGATAATGCAAAATGAATATATCGGAAATTTCATTAAAATTACCCTATTGCGAGCAAAGAGATTAGACTTTGAATGTTTGACAAGATGTGTGCAATAATTGCAACCACTGTACTTGTTGTTCGAAGCTAAGCCTCGCTTGTCCATTTTTAAATTAAATCAAAATACTGCTGAACCGTTCTAATCTACTTTTTATCGGAGATATCCAATGGCATCCTGAGTTGATTAAAACGTTGGATAAAAGTGTTAAAAATGTGTTTAAAAACTTTATTCTACACTAGCTTATCTTAGTTCAACAAATGTAAGCTTAAATTCAATTTTACAAAAGTAGAGAGATATTACATATACTTACCTTGTATGGTATGTTGACTATTTGACAGACAACAGTTAAAGGAAGTAGAATGAGTATATCACTGATCAAACACCAACCATCACTATTCTCTATAATAATAATAATAACTTAATGAAAAATATGCAAGGTAAAGGTGTCTTGATGACTTTAAGAAAACAAATATTAAAAGTTGTTAACTTTTGTATTAATCATGAACAATGGGGAAGAACTTAAAATTATTTTTTGTCAATTGGTTCAAGATATTAATATAAAGAAATAATGAAATTTTGTTATACTGCTACTAATGTGGAGCCTTGATTATCACAGACTGTTGAATTGCCAGGTATGGGAGATACATGTAAGAAACCTGTCCCACAGTAATGCTATAACATGAGCAAAAATTTTGTCAAATTACAGAAACGTCCATGGACTTCAGATTAAGGGGGTACTCGATTGAATGTTCCGGAATTGAATTCCTTCAATCCTAAAAATAGTGACAATCGAGTGAAAAGGTGGATTTCTGGCTACAACGCATGCGTCGACAGAATAAGTTAATATCTCAACCAACCATGCAGCCAAAACCTTTTAATTACGTCATGATTCTACTCACACCACCTCCGTTGTCGGGACTGACAGAACTGTGACAGAACTGAATTCCGCGTTACTCGATTGCAATTCTGTAGTTCTGGACAGTGAATCGAGCATCCACCAAGTGTTTAAATATAAAATCAACATACGATGTGGTACAAGAGCTAGATATATACCACCTACCAATCATACCAATATGATGTGGTACAGGAGCTAGATATATATATATATAACTTACCAGTAATACCAATATGATGTGGTACAGGAGCTAGATATCTTTTCCATGATAAATCATCATAATATACCGGTGGTTCTTTCATACTAGATAGCATTTCATCTATAGTTGATTCATCTAATGGCTACAAATACACAGAGACAGGTAGGGTTTAATGTCTAATATAATTACCAGTACTAGATCATATTGGAAAGAAAAGGAATGAGGTTACACAATATTTCATAATATGGTCATTACCGCACACTTCTTTGATTTCTAATTCAAATGTTTTTTTTATCGGACAGTATACTGGAATTGTCATGGTTAATCTTAATTTCATTAGTTTTCTGTAATTAGCACACTAGTTATAAGCAGTAGGAGGAAACTGCAGTTTTCTGAGTTTAAAGTATAATCATGGGATCAAGTTAAAAATACAAGAAATTATCAATAACACACAATGCCCCTGTTTTAGCTATATTAGGAACCACATGGACTCAGTAGGTAAGACACCAGGTCACTAACCTGTAGGTTTTGGGTTTAATCTTAGAATTGGCTGAAAAAAGTTCCTCAGGAGTTTTCAGACTGCTTTTGCCATGTCAGTGGTGGAGGATTGCAGGGTTGGTCAGGCAGCATGGTATATCATTACATACATTTTTATACTTTAAATATTGTAGGTATTTTTCAAAATTCATTTTAATTGATAAATAGGAATGTACCTCATTATTATCTGGTGTTTCTAATGTCCATGTAAAATCTATGGAATGTTGATTTGCAGTTATCTCCCCTGGCTCAGGTACCCGACCTTGATAATTATACAGCAGATAATACAACATTTCATGGACTAGTTGATATCTTTTAAACTTTGGTACCAAACCATAACGACGCCAACTTTGCTGAAAGATAAAATAAAAGCCAATAAATATTTGAAAAGTCATTTGATAAAGTCTATCAAAATTAGTCTCCCAAATGATCGTACCAAGTCTTTTTTTAGTCTTATTAAAAATCCCCCAAATAAGAACAAACGCCAAATCCCAAGTTTCGAAAATCAAGAATAACTTGGGAAAGTGTAATATTATGAGAACTTTAAATGGGATAAATAAATGATGAATAGGGAAATTGCAAGTTAAAACAGAATTGACAAATAAGTTAATAATGATACATAATGATAATATTCTACACAGTGTTAATCCCTAGGAGGTGTTTCCATGGTAATGATGCCATATCATAATAACAATAACAGTATAATTTAAACCAAGAGTAACAGATATAATACAATAACAGTATAATTTAAAGCATATATACTTACAACATCATATTTCATGGGTGTATTGGCTTTAATTTTATTTCTATATTCCTGGAATCTCTGAATACTTTCTGTTACAGATGGTATGGAGTGAATCAATGGCTGGAAGAAAATATTCCATTTTATCAACTTGAACTGTAACAACATATAATATTCAAACAAGGAATTTTAACATGGAAATTATTGTGAAAGAAGTCATCAGAGAGAGAGAGAAAGAAGAGAGAGAGAGAGAGAGAGAGAGAGAGAGAGAGAGAGAGAGAGAGAGAGACAAAATGGGGTTTAACGTCCACTCGACACAAACTAGGTCATTTCGGGACTAACATATGGTTCAATTTTATTTCAATACTTCGCTTGCGCGTAGGGGTCTTTTAGCAGTGGGGAGAAATTGGAGGACCCACAGAAAACCAAGAGGTAGGACAGGTGACCCTACAGTGCACACATGCTAACCATTCGGCCATCCAACCCTCGCAGAAGTCATCAGTATTTTATCTTATCTAAAAGTAAATATATATATCTACACTATTTAAGAAAGAATTTAAAGTTTAATTATAGACAATGGTAACTTACTTTAGTAATAAAAGATCTATAGGATTCTTCGTTGCCATCACCTGATTTCTGTATCTCCATGTTTTCTTTACGTATACCAATTAATCGTAACTTGGCCTGTTCTATTGCTAATTTTACAGCTGGATCAGTAGCTGTTATCTCTGGTAGACATACTATCGTCAACTAGAATTAGGTAAATTAGAAAAAGTAACTTTTGTTTTGTCATGAAAGGTATGTATTTTTATGCAGATAAATGCTAAGAAACAGCAATTTTAACAAAAAGGTTACAAGTGACTACGTTTCTATGCTGATATTAAATCTTGGTCTGAATTCCGTGAATAAAGAAATTAACTTTGGAATGACTTCCTTAACATAGACTGAAATATTATAATATCCACACCCCAATATATTTCTCTTCCTAGAGTTCCCCACTTGAATGTTATTTGTTTAGTAGTTCTTCTTGCTGATTTAATTTAAACCAGTGGTTTCCTAATTATTAAATTCAAACCGAACAGATATTTCTATATAAACTCAAAAGTACATAATAATACTGATAATTTCATTGAAATGAAATGAAATGGGGTTTAACGTCCTACTGTTTTGCTTTGAACTGGGCTAATGAAGACGGGCATACATCATACAGTGTGCTATGAGGGAAATTTTGCCCGGACAGCAGCACTACAGCCTACTCTTATATCGAATTCCAACTGTCAAGGGATCTTTTACGTGCATGCCAATGTTTACACGGGACCTCGGTTTTTCGTCTCATCCGAATGACTAGACAGCTGTCCTTGTCAGGCCCTCCGTCCTGCATCACTGACAAGGGGATAATTTCATTGAAGAATTTCAATAAGCATCAACACATAGATGACATCAACATATAGCTGAGTGTGATAAGACTTAATGGTCAAGGTTACACACATCTTGAACTGAAATGTAGAACTGTGACTATGTGGAGATAAATAAATAGTGGAATTAATTTTCCTGGGTTAACTTACATCGATAGCTTGTCCTTCTTTATAAATTACGCTTTTTAATAGCTGAATTCGATTCTCTTGTTGTAACCAGTGTAAAATACGTTTCAATGATCGTTTATCCATTTTCTCAAGTATACCCTGGGCCTGTTCTTTCTGCCATATTAACTATAACAACAACAACACATTCATTAAATCATCTCTGTTTGTTTACAAATAATCAAGGAAACATTCTGTTATCAACTGTCTTTCATATTGCAGAGAGAGAGAGAGTGAGAGAGAGAGAATAATGAGCTTTCGAACAGGGGTTTAGCAGTGGGAGGACTAGATGAAACCTTTGTGGTTAAGCAGGTGATCAACCTTATTCCTTGTCCTATACAAGCCTTAAATTGAAACCAGAAACACCTGACTCAATGACAGACCTAACAATATAATATTACTTGTCCACCTTACCCCCCATTTCACATGGCAGCCTACAACTAAAATACTGACCTTTTTGCTTAAGATAATAAAATAAAAGTATTAAAAATGTCAAGAATTTACCCAGTCTTCCCTATAATAACACCCTAAACTTTAGTCATACAATGATTTCCAGTTTTACCTTTAAGATATGAAATTCATTTTCAATGACTCTTGATTCTTGTACAGCTTCTAAAATCCAGTTAGTTCTTCGTAGCAGACGGGAAGAAGCAGTTTCTGTTAGAGTAAATTCAACATACAGTCAGATGAAGTTATTCAAATTAAAAGAGAAAATTCTTATTATATTAAAAGTAGCATTACCATAGAATATATCATTACATCTACCTTTGTCATGATTCACCATCCCACAATACAGATATAAAATTGCAAGGGACTTAATCATTATTTGACGATTTTATTTTCTTATTAATCATTAATATTTAAATGGGATTTTTAGGCTTGGTTGCCCCTTTTCAGTGATGCAGGGTGGTGAGACTGGCAGTAACTAGTAATTTAGAATCAGACAGGGTGAAAAACTGTGGTCTCATTTACACGTTGATGTGCATGTAAAATAACCTTTGATAATAGGAATTTGAAATAAAGAGTAGGCTGTGGCGCCGCTGTCCAGGCAAAATATCCTTTATAGTACACTACATATAGTGTGTACCCATCTTCATTAGTCTGGACTTAAACCCCATTTTATTTAATTTCATTTTTCACCGAGAAACGCCCCTATGACATACGTCTATAGAATATTCCACTCTTCTGATTACAACAAAAAATATATACAAATTCATGCGTTTAATTCTCATTATTAATAAAAACTTAATATCGATCTTACTTTCAAACGGATTAGTAAGCCATGTTAACTTTCTCTTCTCTAGACCTCCCATTACTTCACCATCTGCTTTCAATATTTCACTGGATGTTGATGACTCGACTGTACTCTCTTCTAAATTAACTGTTTCAATAAACAAACAATAAATCATAAAACATCTCTATTAGAAATCAACTCAACTAAATAAAGTATTAAAAAAATTGACAAACATATCGAGGCAACTTGGATTTTTAAAAAAAATGAACAAATTAAAATTGTTAGAACATTCTGTAACTGAATTGTCACAATCCCACTAATATTAACAAGAGGATTTGGGGCAATGAAACTAGCACTGACTGAAGAAGATCTCTCAACCAACAATGACTGCTTAAATAGCATCTTTCAGGGTTCCCGGACTCTCCTGTGACCATGACATTGCTCCTTGCTCATTGATGTCATATTGTCACATGATGTTAATATTACTTCAACGCATATGCAACAAATTTTATATGTCCCACCTCAATAACACTATATATCCCTCAAAATTATATGCCACTATGGTTGTTAAAAATAGTTCGATAAGTTCGATGAGATCAAAGCAAAAAAAATCTATACAAAGCAGATGCTTTTAATATTATTTCAATGTATCTGCAACAGATTTTATATGTCCCACCTCAATAACACTATATATTCCTAAAAATTATATGACAACTGTTGTTTTTGTCAAGTTTGATAAGTTCGATGAGATCAAAGTAAAAAAAAAATTAGATACAAAGCAGATTCTTCAGTTCTGTTCAGATTAATAAATCTTATTTATCATAATTCTTACTAGATTCATTAGGGTCAAATGTCATTGTCATATTTTTTTCCAATGCTGATTTTTCTGCTTGAAATTCCTGGAAAACTTCGGAATCTTTGAAAAGTCTGGCACTAACAAATCTGAAAAGAAAAAAACATATATTATTATATTAAATGATGAACAAAACTAATTAATGTCCAATCAATTCTACCTAGGCCATTTCTGGACTAAAATGGTATATTTTTATTTCACTAAATCGCTTCCTTTTTGCGGGAGCCTTTACAAAACTTTTACTAGACCACCTGGCCACCCCGCTCTCATTGTCTTTACGATGGATAATTGAGAAAATACAATGGTGTATATGTGTATGTCTAACGATAAACTGGCAGTGTAAAGTTAGTTCCATTTTCGTATTTCGTTTTTTGTTATTCGCCAATAACGAAAAATAAGCTATCGGTACTTGTTTTTCATTATTCGCCAATATTGAAAAACAAGTGGCTTGTTTTTTTATATTGGCGAATAACAAAAAACAAGCAACAGAAACTCTCTAAAACGAACTAAAGATATCATAAATGAGGATGTCTGAGCAATGTCTGGGGTCTTTATCTGGGGCAAGATCAATTTATAAGACACAATCTAATCAAAGTCATATATTTATTTAACTTCATCTTTATTAGTCAAAATATTGTTGTAAAGTCAAACCTTGACACAACGATGAAAGTAAAATTCAAATGCAGAAAAAAATAAAATACGGAGTATAAAGTTTTTTTTTTTAAATGCATGAGTATATTAAAAGAACAAAATGTAAAAGTGAATTGACTGAAATCTAATTGTAATCATATCACTCCAGAGTGACTTTTTAATCAATGTTGTGAAGAAAGAGGATGTCAAAACCCCAAAACTTACATATTTTTTCTTTGTCGACCGGAGTCCATCTTGTATGTTTGACACAATCCAAGTCTATTTAGTTTACGAAGAACAGAACGAGCTTCAAGTCTTGTGAATCCCATGACAACAGAGAACTGCGACTGTGATAGACCTTTTGACCCTCCACTCTCTAACCCAGCTAAACACTGATCTAAATTTGTCTTTCCAAATTCCCATTCTAAAGGGGTTACTGAAACATATAAAATGTTTTACTCCGTAAAACAGAACCTTGTGGTGAGGAATTTGTTTGTTTATTTATTTGTTTGTTTGTTTATTTATATAAAATTATGTACCTACTTATTTGTAGCATTACTAATATACTGTAATTCATCTTAGTCTATATCTTAGATTATTTGAAATTGTACATATATTATACTACCAAATTAGAAGGAAGCAAATTAATATAAGCTACTTGGCTTGTTTTTGTATCCTATTCTTTATGCCTTTAAAATGTACAATATTGTTGAAATAAATACTGTTTAAACCAAACATATAAAGAAGACATTTTAATTACGTAACTTTTAGGGTTTTTTGATCATTTTTATTATTATGGCTACATGTGCTTTGTGAGTCAGGAGAATTTTGAACACTGGTGGACCATGTTTTTTGTGCTGTATGGCGAACTAAGCACATTTTCTTTGTCAACCCTACAAGCACCACAACTGACAAGTGAAGGCCAGACTGGAAAAAATCTAGCATTTTAGTCTCTAAATTACATCTAATTTTACATGTAAGTTACGATATTTAAATCAGGCCCACATACATTTTGTATTAATTTAACATCAATGTATATTTTGTTTCTTTCTGTTAAAAAAGAAACCTTTATAAGTAACAAAGAGAATCCAGAATCAAATCATTAATTACCTTCATCATCTCCATCTGAATCAGATGAACCTAACTCTTCGTTATCCTCAGCATTGGCACGGAATGGCTGGATTAATGTGATAACACGGATCTGTTTCTCCCGGTTATTATCAGTCCTAAAATTATAGAAATTTCCATTAGGTATTGCATTATCCTCTTCTTCATCCCTGTCCGACCCCAAAAATTGCTTAATCTATATGTAAAAACACAGATTTGTTTCTCCCAATTATCATCAATCCGTACAATATAGTATAGAAATTCACTGTATTTATTGACCCAGACTTCACCCAAAATAAAAAAAAGAATGGCTAAATCTATATGAAATCTCAGCTATGTTTTTCACAATTATTATCAGTCCTAACATTATAGAAGTTTACTGTATATATTGCATTGCCCCCTACCCCCACACAAATACCCAGTTGGAAACAACAGTACTAGAATGTGAGAACACTTACTTGCAGAGATATTCTTTAGGTAAAGCATCTGGTCTGATAGATGTATAATTCTTTACACCAGTTTTAATATACTTAGAATAACTGGACAGTAAACATTTAAATGATTTTCTCATAAAACCCTGCAAAATTTGTCAGAAAAAGACTATGATTAAGAACTTTGTAATGACGATTCCTCCCTGATACTATTTACATTTACTGATGTTTAGGGAGGGTCTGACAAGGACAACTGTCTAGTTGTTTGGATAGGATAAAAAACTGAGGTCACGTGTACACACTGGCAAGCATGTAAAAGTTAAAAATTCAACCGTTATAACTGCTAAAATTTATTTGAAGAGTCTTTAATTCAATTCTATTGATAAAATACTGGTAGAAATGATGAATGAATACAGGGATGTACGTATACAATAATCTAGTTTAGAACTGTAATAAAATGCTATATTACCATATCTGTTTTGAATATATTATAGACTTCACTATGTTCTGGTTTCCCCTCGAGGTACAGAGACACTCTTTCCATTAACTGAGCATATTTATTCTTCACAGGAACAAAAAAATGTTTTAAGTGGATAAGCCGAACATTTAAATTCTTGTGGTTTTCTACTTGTGTTAAAAATTGCTGAAAATTAAAGAATGAATGAATGAAAATGGAGTTAAATGTCCTACTACATCAACCATGCTAATGAAGACGCTCTTTAAATGTTCAATACACAAAAAATAATTACAATTACGAAATTACCAGGGTTCCATAAGGTAATGCCTTCGAAAAATAAATTTGCGTACTGATTTTATATTAAAAAAAAGATTTAAATCACATTAAAAACCCCAATTGAACTCCAGTTAAAGTGTAATTAAAATAGTTATTTATAAAAAAACAACAAAATTTGGCACCCAGAAGTTGAAACCTTAGAGTGTTTTGGGTAATTGGCAGAAATTTTTCTGGTGTAGGGTTATAATGGCCAATTTTAGTAAAATAATTATAAATTGAAATTTGTTTTTGGTGTATCACAACACAAGACCTGCAAGCACACATACCATTCTTATCCTATTATTTTATGTATTTTAATACATCTTGAGTAAATCTTCCTTACAACTCACCTGTTTTGTAACATAACCACACTCCTGTAACTTTTTACACAGGTAATAAATCTGTGACTGGATATTATTGAAAAACACTTTACTTAAAGCATGACTTGTCTCCCCTGAATACCGCATTCTGGAAAATAAACCACAGCAGATATATAATTCACTTTGTGTTTTCTTGATAAGTTTTTCCATGTGTTACTGGTGCTTGTACTTAGTAGTATAAACAATTCCGGATTAATAACTGTATCTATATTTGGGTAGTTTAAAAAAATTGATGACATCCATTAACTATTGGGGAGCTGTTATGGCATTGGGATGTCTGAGAAAGTTCCTCAGGAATTTTCAGTATGGTTTCCCATGTCAGTGGTGCAGAGCAGAGGGCAAGGAACAGCATCTATTCGGTCGGATGGCATAAAAAAACCTGAGGTCATGTTTACACATTGGCATGGAAGTGAAGAACTCTTGACAGCTGGAATTCCACAAAGACTAGGCAGAAACACTTCTGTATGAACAAAAATGATAGTTTAATTGCATTTGTATTGATAAAGTCTCAGCTATTTCTAGAAGTCATCATTGATTTCAAACAGTGGTCTAACCAGGTAACCCTAATTTCTTGCTTTTTTTTTTACCCAACATTACATCTTATTAGTCAAATCTAAATGAGCATAAAAGTTATCAAACCTTCCAACTCGTTCCAAAACACAGTACATCATATTAGTTAATTCTAACCGTGGATCTCGGTCTCTAACTAATGCATCATAACGAGTCTTCTGTGATGCCACCATAACAAATTTCTGACCCCAGCTGAAAAAATATTTTACGCAATAGACAAAGATAAGTTGGCAGGCAACTAAACATACACCCACAGCATATAAATTAAAAAGGGTGTATAAAAAGGGTGTGTGTGACATGTGTCTCAATTTGCCAAAAATAAATGCAGATGATCAATTTTAATTACATCCCTAACTTTCAGGTTAGAATTTTCAAAAATAGGCAAATAAGGGAGAAAAAAGCCTATCCATTTTCAATTTTTTTTCTTAATATTACTTTTAAAAAATCGATCGGAAATTAACTATTGCTCCTACGGCTAGTCAGATAACTACATGTATGGCCTTAGATACTCAGATTAATGCCTTTTAGGCGATTATAGCGTGTGCGCGAGTAATGACTCGCATCTCCTGAGGTCTGTTTTTATGTTGAAACTTGATACCAAAGGGTTAAACGGTTACTAGCTATGATTATTTGAATATTTATTTAATCAAGTTTAAGTACATCAAGCACATTCTTTCTTTGTCAGGATTCATGGAGTTAATAACTACTGACCAAAGTGATATCGCCATAAATATAAAGTTCTCAGATAGAGTCAATAATGATAAGATCTAACTGATTTTGTGTTCTACAGTTACAAGTTAATGCAACAAGAACTACCATGGACGTACCTTTGCAATATTTCTGCCAGGTTCATTTTCAGTGTTCCATCTTTATCTCTTAACTGTGATGTAACATTTTTCCTTGATTTATAATATATACAGGATCCCTGAATCCCTTCCTCCTCAACAATACCCAGAGGATAGATATTCTGTTCAGCAACCTGTAAATATTATAAATATAAAAAAAAGATATTCTACAACAAAGCAAGAATTTATTCAGATTGTAAAAAAAATTATCTTAAGAGCTAAATCAGCCTATTGCAGGTCTTTCTTTAGGCCTGAAATGTTATATAAACTATTAATTAGACATTTGTTAACATGAAAAGACCATAATCAACCTCAATGCCATCTTGTGTGTCCGATTTTCATTGGATTTAAATCCGATCTGCTGTTCAATACACATTGATGATTAAACACAAAAATGGATAATCAAGACTGTTAATTATCGTGATAGTGGTAAAAATGACAATCAAGGCTACAGTGATTTTAAAATAAGGTTTTCTCGGCTTAGAGTAAAGCAATTTGATTGGAATTTTAGCATATTCCCTTTACATTATCTAGTGTTCAACTATTATAGTGAGAACTGCCAGCTCTTTATCTACTCTTCCATAATATATCTTTAAGGAAGAATCCACTGGCTTGTGCAAAAAAGATGCCAGAATTATAATTACTTTTATTTGTCTTACATACATAAAGATGGTTGGTGTGATATCAATGGACAAAAAAACTTTTTAATAAAAGTTACTTTTAATTGTGTAAGCTTATTATTTGAAACTCTGTATTTAAACCCACCCATCTTCTGGCAGACCGGAGTATAAAATATTTATTCCCTGTTTTAAAATAAATACCATAAGAAGTATTTATTACAGTGTATCAGAAAATCAGTTTTTCAATGAAAACGATGCAAAGAACTACATACAATCAATGTTTCTCCCAACTTACATTATGGACCCAGATTCCCGTGGTAGGATCTTTAAAAGCGAATCTATCGTAGGGTAGTAAATCTTCTCTAGCTTCTGGTATAGTATAAAACTCAAGCCTTGAATCACTTCCAACACTTTTCCATAAAAACTCCTTTGATTTCTCGTCTAATTTAATACAAAACTTCTCTCTGCTCTCCAATCTCACCCACAGAGAATTAAAGGTTATTCCTTGAAGTAAAATAAATTTGTAATATCACTCTCAGCTTGTTTCTACATGCTTATATTTATTGTTCAATCAACATTTGTGACATATGTCCAAATCCAATGCAAGAGCTTATATTTGCAGGCTAACTATTTAGTTGCATGTACATCGTATTGACATTGCTAGAATATTTGAATCGATCCGAACCATTTTAACAATAAACTTTATTTCTTATATTGTTCTAAAAAATAAAATGGTTGTCATTATAGTAATTTCTAATTCCTACTCATCTAAATTTGATCTTCTTCAAAAAAAAAAAAATGTATGTACATTGTAATAACCTGCTGGTACATATATACATATCCAACCTGATAAACAATAAAATATATAGAAGTACTTGTACTTTATCTACTCATACTTTAATTTATATGAAGGGATGAATTCTTATTTAACAGTTGCATGTAGGTAGAACTTTTACCCAAGCTGCCACACCCATTGGTAACAGACATCAGTCAAGTTTTATAAATATCATAAAATTATTCATTATTTCACCAAATTATAGTTTATTGCTAATATTTTACTAATAGTGTAGGTCTCATTACACTCACCCCGTACATTCAGGAACCGCCCTATTGAATCCTTGTCGAAAAACTTTTGAACCCCAGTCAATTTTACTGGGCAACTTTTTACTGCAAAACAGGTGCATGTCAGCCCCTGTGAACGCCTGTATTAAAGGATCATTTTTTTTTGGAGAAAATAAGGCCTTGCTTACCTCGCTAGAGTCCTCCGTATGCGCGACACAACATGCTGTTAAAAATACGTATCCTTATGCTAAATGGCTTGGCAGAAGCCATTAAAATATAAATATAGGGTAATGCACAAATTTACGTTTACGTAACTCGACCATATAAGACGAAACAAATTTAGGTAAGCAGGTGAAACAAAATTGGAATTGTGCCAAGCCGTTTAGCAGAAGGGGACGTATTTTTAACAGCATGTTGGGTCATTGAATAGGCTACTGACACTAGCGAGGTAAGCAAGGTCTTATTTTCTCACTAAAATGTTCCTTTACATTGTACAGGCATTCACAGAAACTGACATGCGACCGTTTAGCAGTAAAAAGTTGCCCAGTAAGATTGATTGGGGTTCGAAAGTTTTTCGACAAGGAAGGATTCAATAGGACGGTTCCTGAACGCACAGGGCGAATGTAATGACCGTCCTACATGTCATTTGTACAAACAAAAATTGTTGAATAAATTTTTACCATCCAATCCTTCCAATGCAATCTCTTCAATAATATCTTCTATGAAATTCATCTTTATCTTTCAAAACAAGTTTTCATTGATACATCTAGTATAATATCATAATGGCCGGTTGTCACTGTCAATTTAGCATATTTTTATTTTCAAAATCTCAAAAACGTGTTATTTCTTTTTTTTTAAAAAAAATGAGTCAAGTATATAAACAAAGAGGAGATAATTCGCAGACATAAATTGTAGTCGTGTTTTTCAAGTATTTCATGATAAAATATAATCAAAGGGAGACAACTTCAATACAATATGGAGGCAGACCACCATTATTTCCCCATTGACTTCAATGTTAATTCTGACCTCTTTGCCCACCTCCAACTTTTCCCCAAATTTTCGTTGGGTTGAATGCTTTTCACTACGGACAGAGGAATAAATGGTCATGTCTTTGCACTAAAATTTGTATGAGGTTGACCACCAAAATTTTGAGATACACAAACTTGAAGAAGCATACTAAAAACATGTAACTAGTTGCCGTCATAGACTCCATCTAGAATTTCCCAAAACGCTCAAGGATGACCGAGGTTCACCCGGCAGATTCTGAAAGAGGAATCCTAGGCTACTAAAATGAATCATAAATTAACCGTTGTACACAAATTCCAGGTTCCCTCGAAATATTGGCTTTGGCGGCCGGACTATAATAGAATTTCATATAGCCATGCTTTGTTTGACGGAAGCCCGTATTTCAATCACCAGAGGTTTATTTCAAAATCCAGCGGACGAATTCGGCAAGTGGAATGTTACGTCAGAAAATATTTTAATGAAGAGTATTACCAGGTGTAAGCATAACTTATCGCAACCGCGAAAATCGCCACTGTCATCATTTATCTAAAACTAAGGTGCTAGGAATTTCAAGAATTGCATAATCTCTATTTTAAGTGGGTGAACCAATGCTATTCAATACTATACAGAGCATTATCTTATCAGTTCTTGGGTGAAATGTATAGGGTCTTATCTTTAGATGAAACAGCCTTGATCAAGGTAAGGACAATTCTACTGTGCTGCTATTATTTAGTATGAAAATGTTTTATATAGTAATTATCCAACCAATTAATCAGAAAATTAATACATTTTAACAATAATGCTTTCATTTTGAGACTAACATATCGTACGGATAATATTTTTTCATCGCCTCGTGTGCAATGCTATGGGGCGAAGACGTTTACGCAAAGTAGTCCTTCCGCTTTCTATTTTGGCCGATGTCTATATTATGTCATGAGTTTGAATATCGGTAATCGACACAGGTTTGTAGCGGTAGCTTATAGGTTTCGTGCCCCTGATTATGTTTAAATTTTAGTTTCCATCTATCACCTGTCGGGACTTTTATTAGGGGTTTCGGTGGCCGAGCGCTACTGACACATGTGCTTTAGATCACAAAGCATATCACTGAACCAACCAAGTGTCGTGGTGTCGATCTCTAGATAACAAACCTTAATCTCTCAACCCTCCCAGCGTTTTTAGTTACGTTCCGTAGCTAGTCGATCTCATTCGTGAAATGAAGTAGGATCGCTTCTTTGGTTTCCTCTCACTGCTAAAGACCCCTACTTACAAGCAAATTATTGAAATAGAAATCCACATGTTAGTCCTGAATTGGTCTAGTTTATGTTAAACATGCATTATGCAAGAGCTAAATCTGCCTATTGCAGGTCTTTCTTTAGGCCTGAAATGTTATATAAACTATTAATTAGACATTAATTAACGTATCCAGAACATAATCAACTCTCGATGTCAGCGCTATCCTGCGATAATTGTTGGATTATGATCCGATTTGCTGCATAACTTTCCTTCTCGATTTAACGATTAAATGGATAATCGAGACTATGATTTTTGTCGTACCGACTTTAGTAATGATGACCGAGGCTATACGGAACTTTCGATCGCTTATTTCTCGGTTCATAGTGGATCAATTTGACTGAAATTTTCAGCAAATTGCCTTTACATTATCTAGTTTTTAACTATTATAGCGAGAACTGCCAACTCGTTATCTTATCTCCCATAATGTATCTTTAAGTGGGTGGTTTACAGAATTACCCTCCCTCCCCTCCCCGTATAATTTTCCTATTTAATTTTTAGAATGCTGATGATCTTGTGGTTAGTGTTTATTATCGGTGTGACCGGCCAGGTGGATCAGCATGCTACCACCGAAACCAAGCACCTGTATAACAGATTGAGAACTCTGGCTAGAAATGAAAATCAGATTTTATTTGGAATGCAGGAAGCAACACTTCAAGGTGTAGAAGGTGGGCACACTCCTTACATAATGAACAGACGACATGATGGTGTAGAGGGCTGGATTTATGGGGTAAGAAATATTCATTTGATATGTGTGACTCCATAAACTAGTTTTGGACTCAGTCCTCACTTTGCGGGCGAAAATACGAGTGTGGTGGGAGGGGGTGACGTTGGGCTGGATTTGCCGGTATTATATAGCTTTAACGAATTTTGTACTTACTTATATAAGCTCCAAAGGAACAATAAAAGTTCATGCATAACTGCCCATTATAATTTATAATTTTGAACTTTGATAGACTCTTATGGGCCCTGGCGCGGCGCAATGGCCGCACCCCCACCCCATCTCTCGTGAGGCCTGGCTGAAGTTGGCTAATGTGTTTGGTTAGAATGACAAAAATTAAATAGAAATGACTGTAATGGGTAGAGAGCCCACCTTTACCCTTGTCTTGAGAATTTGACTAATACCCTGTTTTAATTACAAATATTCGCTTTTGGTTTATCTACTAGGATTATATGGTGGATCAGAAATATCCGGATGAACTATGTGACGTAAAACGGCTGACCGGTTCCTTTCCCGCCGTTATTGGTTTCGATCTGTACGACTTGAAGGACTACCAGCTCAAGACAACAACTTTCTTAGGTAGGAAAGCGTATGAAAGGGGTGAAGTTATCGCGCTTGTTATGCATCATAAAAACCCCATTACTGGAGGATCACCATGGATAAAAAATGATAAGGGGGACATAAAAAAATCAATCAAGAGACTTCTTCCTGGTGGAGACTCTCATTGGAAATGGAACCAGATTTTGGACAAAATTGCATCGTGGGCACATGGTTTCAAAGATTCAAAGGGAACAAACATTCCCGTAATATTTCGCTTCCTTCATGAACTAAATGGCGACTGGTTTTATTGGGGGTTGAATAACGCTGTCGGTAACACGGAAGAGGAATTGAAGGAGTTTTATCGATATACTGTCAAATATCTCAGAGATACTAAAGGTGTTCACCAATTTCTGTACGCTTTTAGCCCAGACAAGTTCACTGATCAGGCCGACTACCTCAAGGCCTATCCAGGCGATAATTATGTTGACATCCTTGGTATGGATTATTATTATACTAGGGTTTCGGACACGAAAGATAACCTGCAAAGAAGTATTCGTGATGTCGTCGTATTAGCTGAATCCCGAAACAAGATTCCGGCACTAACTGAAACCGGTTACATGGACAATAAAATTAACCAGTTTCCGAACTTCTGGACAGATTATGTGTTGGATGTTGTTAAAAGACAACCAACTACCAAACGCCTCGCTTATATTCATGCTTGGACCAATCAGTGTTTTGATAATGCTGAGCATTCCTGTCTAATCTGGGTACCTTACAAAGGTCATCCTGGAGCAAATAGTTTTGTCAACACATTTTATAAAGACCCAATTACAATATTTGGTAACAAGGTTCCCAACTTTTATCACTGAATGTAATTTTGTAAAGGTAAAGCAAAATAAAATATTGAAAATGGACCTGTTTATAAGTCTTGACGCTTTATTATCATGACTAAACACCTTATACCACCTCTTATTTCAAAACGTCACATACTTAACCAACGGTTGTTGTAGATTTGTATTGCTTTAGGCATCGCAATACAGGGTGTGTTGACTTTTCCCCTTCAAATAGAAAATTGTGACTTTTCTATAAATTTTCGACTTTTCCCTTCTAATCCACTCTATTGATTTCAACCAAATGTGTGGTGCTTATTCAAACTGTTCTAAATGAAGTTCGCCAATCCTAGATGGGTCAGACAGGACTGGACCACCTTAAAGAGGGGCTTTTAGACATTTTCATATAACCAACTGAAGAACATTTTATAGAAATGTTAGGTACCTATCCATATAGTGATTTTGTGTTATGTAATATTTACAGGTAAAAAAAATCTCAAAAATGAATATCTTTACCATTTTGACTATGATAATTTTGCCATTTTAACCATGACAATTTCTCTTAATATGGCAGCGATTCGGCTCCATAGGATGATATTACGCGGTAATGATTCGTAATGATAACACTATAATTATATTAAATCTTACCTATACAAGCTCCACGAGATTGCTGCAGTCCTGACACAGTAGGATGAACAACTAAATAAACGGTAGGTACACAACATCTTAGAAAGGCAATGAGTTCCCTTAGAGATCTCGATTTTGGTAAATCAGATTTGTCAGGGATGTACTTATTTCTGTTTAGCGACCACTTTTCATGACCTCTATTTTTATCTATGTGTTTAATATCTTCGCCGATTTTGTTCATAAACAATAATTTACCAAAGCTTTTATACCACATAATCTTTGATCAGAAGATTTTATTTTTGTTTTACCAAAAAAATTTATTTTACTGTCCGAAACACACGGAAATTTGTTAAAAGGTCAAACATTCGTTGATTATTCATCATATTTGGCAAATACAACAGATCTCATGATATAAATAGACTAATAAGTCAGAAATGAAATGAAATGAAATGGGGTTTAACGCCCTACCTTTCTGTACTGACTGGGCTAAGAAGACGGAAATATGCAATGCAGTGTGCTATGAGGAACATTTTGCCCGAACAGCGGTGCTACAGCCTACTTTATTTCCAATTTAAACTGTCATGGGTTCTTTACGTGCACGTTTTTTTTGCCCCAACAGAACCTAATAAGTCAGTATAAGAACTAGAAACTAAACTCATAATATATGTTTCAGCTCTCAGAGTAGACGTTTCAACACGAGGTGATATTAATGGTCCAGTAGACAGGCAGTGGTCTTTATATTAAAAGTTATGAAGCAAAAAGAAGTGATAATCCCAGTTATTTCAATTATGAATCAATTTAAACCCAGTTTTGAGTCGCGGTTTCATTGGACCAAACTGTATCCCGAAACACTCCCTAGTATAATGATTAAATTTAATATGACTAGCCATTCGGCATTCCACCAAGCGCTCCCTACATCCCTTCACTAGCCAACAAGCCGACGTATTATCAGCTAGTGATAGCCTTACGTTTTTGCATGGGTGTTTTTTCAGAGAATCAAGCATTTTTCTATTAAGATTAGATGTCTCTACTTTCCATATATTTCAAATTTACAATACTTTATTAGAAATAACTACCCGATATAAGTATTTTCGTGGGGACACATCTTTAAATTCTTTAGGTATTGAATACTTTATGGAACCGATGTAATGCCGCCAGTATATATAATCGATTATGAAAATATTTGTTTTATTTCAACACAATATACAAGACAAGGTATATCTAAAGGTATGGGGATATCTCAATAAACAGCGTATCGTCCCATGACGACCCGGATTTGAAATTCACAGTCCTAATTTTGAATGCGAGAGTTAGATCGATAAAGTCCTAATAAAATCAACCTATTTTTTAATGTTTGTTTTCCGTGGTGTATGTGTGGTCTTTTGAGCAGTTGTGTTCTTTTGGGAAGATGATGTCCTCTGTGTTTGTGCGTTTTTCTGCGTCGATGACATCTTTTGAGTCGAAGGTGTCTTTTGAGTCGTGTGTGACTTTTGCGTCGTGTGTGACTTTTGGGTCGATGACGTCTTTTGGGTAGCGACTTTCTGGGTCGATGGAGTTTTCTGATGCGATGACGTCTTCTGTGGCGAGGATGTATTCCGAGAGGCCGGCGTCTTTTGTTTAGATGTCGTCTTTTGTGGAGATGAGGTATTTTTTATTGTCGAAACCCGTTCCTCCGACGAATCTTCTTCCTCCGTGAAGGCTTCCTGTGTTAAGAAAGTCTGTTGTGCTTTTGTGGTGTTAGATTTCTTCGTGCCCTTTGTTGACCTTTTCCCTTTCTTGCCCATTGAACTGTTCATCCCTTCGACTGTCTTCTGTATGGTTGCAAAACCAATACTAAGGTTTCCTACCTTAGAATCCAGGTCCACGACTTGGGTTTCCAAATATTCGACGGTTGGGGGAGGTTTGTTCCCAGACTCCAATTCATTAAGGTTCCCACTGACGAGTTTTACGATTTGACCATCCCTTTCTTTAAGCTGGTTCTTCAAATCGGACACCTTTTCATCTAACTGTATCACCTTGGTTTGTAAGGTTGTAATTTCCTTCGCTTTAAGATTATTGTCTACTTTCAATTCTTTTATTTTTTCATCCATCTCGTCCACCTCACGTGGTTGTATTCGTCTGCTGGACAAGGATTCAACTCGTGGTGATAAATGAGAATCGTCGATTTCGGTTCTCTTTAACAATTCACTATGAACCTTTTTAAAGCCACAATCTTTCAGACCTGCTACAAAGCATCCCCATGCCCTACGCCCGCGTCGAAGCAAGGTGTCCAGCAAATATTTATTTCTAAGAGCCTTTGTATCAGTAATTTCAATTCGTTTCACATCGTCATCGTCTAAGATAAATGCTTGAAATAAGTAATTCGAAAGATCAGCCGCGTCTATTTTTTCCTGAAGATATATGTAATTATTTCGTAGTTTTCTAGCGTCTTCGGGTGGCATTGGTACTTTGTTCAGGATTGGGGCTTCAACCTGAAATATAAATACAAAGTGTTAGTCTATATTAATAAGCCCATCGAAAAAATGGACACACTATCAATCTATCGAATAGTTTTTATTTGTTTGCGAATGTCTGAATGAAATTAGAACAAGATTTTTTCTAAACAGATGCGTAAGGCATTATGGTGCCAGGAATGCGACTGATATGCGTATCTCTAATAATAAACACGTTTGATGGCCATCTCTAGGTTCATAAACCATGCCTTATTACTTAGGTTACTATACCACTCCTCCAAGGATATCTTGATTTTGATAGTTCTTGTATATCAAACGATAGTGACTTATAGTGTATACAATTAGTGTGTATATGGTACTATATGGGTTTATATGGGTTTATGACATTCTATACCGAATACAGATTATAAGGCATATGTGATGCTTTACCACGTAGGCTTCATACAATATGATTGTTAAATGGTGGGTTTCAAATACACAAGAAGAGCTTATGAAGGAATGGTGAATGTTACGCGGAGACAAATGAATAAACAATAAACAATGGTAATTTTATTTTTTGTACACATTTACCTTCAATTTCTATGGAGAAACGATTTTTTGTCTCAATTTAGTTACTATTTAGTCATCTATGTAGGAGTACCCGATCTATAAAATTGAAAATATGATTGAGGTAATTGATGCACTTACCGAAGGTCCCTGAGATCTGAGATGAGTATCCGGAAACAATCCCGGATGTACCCGAGCTAATTTACCAAGTGTTTCAATTCGTCTGTTCGTCATTCTGTGTATTAACTGAGTACTTAATATCGTAAAACTAATGGTTGATTTGCAAAAATACAAAATATCCACTTAACTCAGTGATTGTTTACAATGTGTAATCATTAACTCAGTCCATTAATATAACGCAACTATTGTTCACTATTTCTTATATATCCGTTCAATTCAATTATGGATTGCAATATCCAGTTAACTCAGTGGCTGCTCCGGCATTTATTTCACTTAATTAGGCGTTATAAAACGAGTTAACTCAGTGGCTTATTACACTATCCAATTAACTTAGCAGTTGTTGCGACACCCCGTTAACCTAGTTATTGATTTCAGTATCCTGTTAACGTATAAATTCATGACAATATTCAATTAACTCGGTAATATCCAATTAACTTTAGGACAAGTTGTCTTTATAACATATGCAATTATATCTAATACACATTTCAATTACCCATTTTTCAGTTTTTTCCTTTAGAATTACACAATATAATTGTACTCCCAGATCAACGGAATTGGTGCTGGTAACACCATATGCAATATTTTGTGTGCAGTAATTGATAAACCACGAAGAATGCTAAAAGTTTTGTCAAAATTCTACACTACCAGGGAGTGTAGTAGGTTATTAAATGGCGTATCTATATGACGTTTATTTCTTAACAACATACTGTAAAGACCTACAAATAGTGTTCTATTGTTGTCAACACCTCTCACACGCTTGAATAATACTATATACTTTTGCTGTTAGAAAAAGGACCGAATAAATATTTGTATGCTCAGGGGTGAATAATAGTTATAGTTGTATTACTATCACTGGCAGAGGATAACAAATGTGTAAAATTGATAGTCTATACATGATTTCAACAAAGGACCTGTGTTGCCACCACGTCAATTCAAAGCGTAATTGTTCTAGTACTCTAAAATTACAACAAAAAATCCCGATCTAACATGAAGATTTATTCCATAAAAGAGGTTTAGAGAGATATATTATGCAATATTGTGCGGATGGCACTGTGGTGAGATAATAGAAATACAAAATAGACAATTCGGGAGCCTCGTCGTGTAAATAGAAGATAGTAATATAATATATGTTGTAAGTTATAAAAAAAAGATAGTAATACATATTATTATTATTTATTCATATTCTTTGAAAAGATATAACATTTAAACATGCCAAAGAAATTAAAACGGCTACAACCTCTTCGATTTTGATCAAGAATGGACCCATTTTACGGCAACAGAAAAAGCAAAAATTTAAACTTTTAAGCAAGCCAATTTTCGCTTAATCTTTGGAAACAAAAATGTAATTTTACATAGTTTACCCTATCACTGGGGACCAGAGGCCAGTGGGGTTAGCGCCCTGCGAGGGGCCAACGTTCTATTGGTTTTCTCCCCCTCTCCGGGCGCGATAATGGTTTTGAAAAACGGACTGTAAATGGTGCTTTCGTAAAGTATACCCTGATGATTCTAGCTTACGCATAAATTTAGCGTGTGGAAATCTTTACTATATTTGCAGCTCCTTTTAGTCCACCCCTAGTCCTATTCAATACATTATTTTTACCGAAATCGAAGAGGTTTAGCTCCTTTAAGTTTGTCAAATGCATTTAGTTCACAAATGAAAAAGGAATGGATGTTCACAAATGAATGGCTTCATTACTGAGGATTGTTGGACAGCTAGTCTCCAGTATCCAAATCCATTCAGATATACACAATCATCCAAACCTCCTGTGCTGTTATTAGGTTCTCCTGGTGCCCAGTTGTTAACAGCTGTAACGGATCCATCTACCCAGGTAATTTGTCCACCATTAACATCATTCGATCCAATCCAATATCCAAGACCTGAAACAGATAATTGTACACCCAGAACAGGAAATTATGGAAAAGAAATTGGGTTTAAAGTCCTATCACTTTATTACGCCAGTCGGGCTAATAATGACGGGTATGCAGTGTGAGGAAAGTGTCTAAGATTCATCGAATTTCAACTGCCAAGGGTTCTTTTAAGTGCACGCCAAGGTATACGCGGCACCTCGTCCTACCCTACTGACAAGGCAAAAACCACACTGGAAAAATTTATCGGCCAACACCGGATCGAACCCCGAACCTTCTGGTCAGTGAGCCCACGCCTTACTCCATGAAATTATGGCGTAGAAAGTTGATCTGTTGATCTATATAATTCAAAATCCATTGGAAGAATTATGCCTCATGCAGACGCACGTATCGCACGAGAAAATTCCAATTCGTCACGACTCACGAGGCGGGTCATTTTATACACCTGTCTCGCTGTCCAGTTAGTGTGGACTGCAAGGGAAGACAAATCTGTTTGGGAGATTGGGAGACGGACCACCATTAATTTCCCCCATTGACTTCAATGTTAATTCTGGCCTCTTTGCCCACCTCCAACTTTTCTCCAAATTTTCGTTGCGCTGAATGCTTTTCACTACAGACAGAGGAACAGATGGTCATGTCTTTGCACTAAAATTTGTATGAGGTTGAACACCAAAATTTTGAGATACACAAACTTGAAAAAGCATACTAAAAACATGTAACTAGTTGCCGTACATATAACCGTAGCCAACCTGATAACCCTGTTATCTTTCCGCCTCAAAATCATGAATATTTACCAAAACCTGGAAGAAAATGTTGATTCAAACACCCTTCATCCATTCTAGACCAAAAAATCAACAATAATGGGCATGCAAAAGGTGAGAAAAGAGACAGAGAGAGAGAATTGCTATAAATAGACGAACTACAATTTGTGGGTACCGAGATGGTGAAATTTAATGGCGGTCTGCCTCAATTGGAGGCGGGTCGTACCTTCCTATATACAATGTTTTAATAATTACAAGACACTTAGCAGTATGAAAGAAAGTATAATATACCAAAGTGAAGCTTGACAGTCTCCATTTTAAGAGAAAATTCAACTTGTTTCAAGGTTAACAATTGGCCACCATCCTCTTCACATTTTGCCTGCGCCGTCGTCCAGTTAAAAGTAGAATATTCTACCCACAAACAAAATAATCCACCCATAAAGGATCTGTATGTTGAAAAAGTGTTGCAGTGTTCTGTAAAATATATTCATTTATGATGCTACAAAAACACATTATTCCAGATTAATTGACTAATACAGACTTTTAGACCATACATAATATAAAACAGCCTTAACTCCCCGATCCCAGCTACCCCTATACCCCAAATTTCAGCCTCGGGACAGCTCTAGTATAGCCGCCAACCCTAAACAGACAGACAGACAACAACAGTCACAAACATTAGTATAAATTGGGTTTATTTGCTAAATATAAAATAAAGCTTATTGGGCATTTAGTCATGTCAGGGTATGGTGTGGTATGTTTGGAATTAATTATTCAATATGTGTCTGTCCCTTAGCGCCCCAGTTAATTCATATTTGGGTGTTGCACAAGGCTCAATTTAGCCATACCCATGTACTGTAACGTTGATATCGTTGACTAAGCAACAAATAACTGTTATAAATTTAATCCCAATCTAACCTTACCCAGGATCTTATTTAACCCCGACCTAACCTTTTCAGATCCAATTTAAAAACCTCGTCCTAAGCTTAACTAGGATCCAATTTAATCTCGATCTAAGAGTTACCCAGGATCTAATTGAACCTCGAGCTAACCTTACCCGGGATCCGATTTAACGCCGGACTAACCATGCCCAATGTTCAGTGTAACCTCGATCTAATCTTAACCAGTATTGTGATCTGGCCCTGTATAGCTTAAGTTCAAAGAAGTAACCTTGACCCGAGAAAGGTTGAACCCTCGAAACTAGATGTATCTTTACTTACCCTCCAATTCTTCATCGACGAACAGAGATGTTACATTTATAGTACCCACGCCTTTGTTCACCATATTCAAAATATAACAAGATTGGACATCATGGTGGAAGAATTTACATCCAGGATACGAGACACATTTCACTCCACATTCTAATAATGACACACCATCCCATGACTCAGAGTATTCCATAGTCGCTGGTGCCGTATCGTGCACATTTAGAAACCACTGCAAATCTAGCCCCTCTTGCATAATATTAATTTTAGTATACATGTTTGCCTTGGTGTGAACCATGCAAATTACTAAACATGCAAATTCATAAGTTCTTTGAAATAAACTGGTCATCTTATAGAGAGAAATTTACTTGCTTCTCCGCGACCCTTGTGCTGTGCTTGGCTGCCAACGTGTATACAGTTGGTCCTGCTTGGTTAAGAATGTGACATTCTTGATTTACCCAATATAGATGTGAATATTGATTACCGGTAAATGTCAATTCTGTTTGTAGGGAAACCATGGACCTTCCTCTTGTAGGTTAACAGATCCGTGACATACAGAGAGGGGGTGGGGCAGAGGGGGCGATGGCCCTGGGCATCCATTTCAGGGGGGGGGGGGTAGGGTCATCTAATCAAAGAGTGAAATAGAAATTAGGTTTTATTGTGACGTCGTTGTGCGAGCCCCACAAGCTGATGTGAATGTGGATCTGTGTGTTAAAGATACGTTATGTAAGTCAAATCTGTCCTTTTTCTGGGTTCAAATATTATATAAATTATTATTGATTCAAATGACAAGCCCATAATCAACTCTCTGTGCTGAGTAGACATTGAATGGAATAGAACCTCATTATTATTGAGACTTTATCATAAAGTGGCTCTGTCAGTAAAGTGCTTGCTTATTAAGCAGAAGGTCATGGGTTCGTTCCATGTATTTGTCGAGCAACATGGTTTCTCATTACCAGTGATGAGGGACGCGGGGCCTGGCAGCGTCTAGCAATTTGGATAAGACGAAAAATAGACACCCCGTGTACCTTGCGTGTACGTAAAAACAATAATCCTGAATTGGAACATGATGATGATGTTGGAAAATCTATCTGATAGCTCGCTGCATGATGTATGTCGGTCTTCATTGGTCTGGTTGGTCCAGTAAAATCCAGAACCCGGGAAATTATAGACACGAGTTCAGTGGCCTGGCAGGCTTGACGTTGCGAACCATGCTAATGTGGAATTAAGAAGGGTTTTAGTATAAAAAGATATTCAAGAGGAATGGAATGGCTTGCACAATTATTATTACTGTATGTATTTGTCTAAACGAGGTAAAGACGTAAACTTTATGGCCATAACTTAAACATGCGTTGTGTTTGAGCTAAATCTGCTTATTGCATTTCTTTCTTTAGACCTTAAAAGTTGTTATATAAATTATTAATTAGACATACAGTAGATTTGGATACCTTTATGCGGTTGATAAAATAGCCGTAAAAGTGGACAATCGAGACTTTGTTTATTATCGTAACAACGGTACCGGTAGCAATGACAATCCAGGTTATAGTGTTATTCTATCGCCGATATCTAAGCTCAAAGTGAAGTAATTTGACTGCAATTTTCAACATATTCCCTTCTCATAGTCTATTTTTCAACTATTATAGCGAGAACTATCAGCTCTTTATCTAATCTTATCTAAGGCCCCTTAAAGATAGAATTGATCGATTTGAATAATATTTGGCCCAAAGTGTATCTTTTGAGTGTGTATAGTCTTAAACTCTACGGCCACTTTATCAGTTTATTTATCGTAAATAATTAAACGCTATTGATCTAACCGCTATTAAGTATC